TTTGATTGGCGCAATCGTATACTTTATATCTGGCGCAAATGACTCTTTGTATTTTAAAAAACTAGAGGCGCAAACGTAACATTGGCACTAATGAGTTGTGGCGCGAAAGACGATTTTTTTTTGGCGCGAAAGACGATTTTTTTTTTGGCGCAAACGGATTTCTCCCAACTTTATCAAATATAATCAGTCATTTTGTTTGTATATACATGTATACATAGTTTTTGATATACCATTAATTTTGTCATTATTTGGATTTGGTAATAAGTAAATAAAATTAATCTTTAACAAGGAAAATACCTTGAAATCAAAGTCGATAAAATGTGAAACCAAATACATACCTAAGAGATCGATGATGAATGACAGTAAACTTGATAACAGCGAAAACTGCTTCATCCTTATTGCAAATCAGATAACTAAATATATGCGTTGTATGTAAATATCCGTCAACGAACCCTTCATCGGAAATTGAATATAGGAAGGTTCATTTGTAATGTTTGTACACATTAAAATTGATGAACAATTACAAAATTGATTACCGATTATACTTTGTACTTGATAGAAAGTTACATGTTCAAACTTCCGTATTCGTACAAATGACCATTATGGGAGCACAAAATAAAAAATAAAAACAGGTTTACCGACACAAAAAACTATTTGATGTCACCTCATTTTGCCACGTTTCCCCATATCGCTTTTAAAACATCAAAATGATAATATATTCCCTCTTTAAAATGAATAAGTTTATATGATAAATACATTTTTATACCATGTCTCAAATGTCCGACACTAGGGAATGAGTTTACGGGTACATGCGGAGGATTTTTTGCTTCCGAAACTGGAAGGCTTGAGTAGAGAAGTTTCCCGTCAAACATCAGGACTTGATTGTGGTTATGGCTATGTTTTTCCCGTTCGAAAGTAGGGTGCTTAAGTGTACCTACTAATATAAAAATAAGAAGATGTTGTATGATCACCGTACGGCCTTCGACAATGAGTAAAAACCCATACCGCATAGTCAGCTATAAAAGGCCCCGAAATGACAAATATAAAAGAATTCAAACGAAAAAACTAATGACATGATTTATGTACAAAATAATGAACGAAAAACAAATATAATATACAGCAACACATGACAAACGACAACCACTGAATTACATGCTCCTGACTTGGGACAGGCACATACAGAATGTGGCGGGGTTAAACATGTTAGCGGGCGCCCAACCCTCCCCTAACCTGGGACAGTGGTGTAACAGTACAACATATGAACAAACTATAAAAACCAGTTGAAAAGGGCTTAACTCATCAGATCGATACAAAACACAAGTAACAAAAACACAGAGTAGACGTGGCAGGGTACTTATACATCCCCACAACAAAAAGACACTGAGTACAGATCTGAGAGTACTCGCAGTTAGTGACAGCTAGTTCAAAGCCAATAACAACTAATAAAAAATCATGCACACTAAAAATGTTTCCGTCTAACACTGGGGTACTTGAGTGTACATACAGAGGATTTTCCCGTCCGACTATTGGGCCTAAATACATGCTGAGGATTTCCCCCTCCGGCTTTGGAGAGGGAGGCGTTGGTTGTACCTGGTGATAATTTTCCATCCGATACTGGGGGACTTGAGTGTTCCTGCTGCGGATATCCAAGTCTGACTCCGACCCTGGTGGCTCGATTGTAACTTTTAAGAATTTTTCCGCCCGACACTGGGGGGGGGGGGGGGGGGGGGGGGGGGGCTTGAGTGTACCTGGTGAGGATTTTTCCGTCCGAAGGGGGGAGGGGGGGGGGGGGGGGGCGTTATGCTGAGGATTTGCCACCCAAGCATGGAAGGCTTGATTCTACCTGCTGAGGATTTTAAAAGTTTTATATTTTAAGAATATCGTGAATATTTACAGAGATGTTATAGTCTAAAGATAGCAAAATTCCAATTGTTCTTCTTTTATTGTTGAGTTTTATTTGCAAATAAGCAATTTTGCAGTAAACTATAGTTTTATTAAACTGAAATACTTTTTGTCTGCTTTTTAAAACTGTCTTTTATATATATAAATATATATATGATATTTGAAATAGCGATTTAGCCTTTTTGTGCTGATGCGGTGTAAATCAATCACCAATAAATAAATCACAAAAGGACACAATTTATATATTCTCACACATATGCGTTATTGGAAATATTGAGCGAATGTCAGTATAATAAAAATACTTAAAGGAAAGGCATTGTTCATATAGGCAAACATTGTGGGGAATTATTTAGTTGGTAATTGCCAGCGCTCTATTTTAGCGGGTCCGAACGTATTCAGCAGACATCAGCAAAACCAATGCTTAACCATCATGTCAAAGTTTTAAATTTATTATTGTCTATACAAGTTTCAAATGAATTTTACATGAAGTAATAAATATCTACCTTAAATAGCTAATTTTAAAATGGATCAAAAAAAAAAAAAAAGGAAGAAGAAATAAACGAATTAATTAAAAATCCAACAAGAACAAAAGTTTTTCGGTTGGAAATGGCACGTCGCATTTCATTGTGACAAGTAAAAAAAATAATAAGCCGTATTCGTGATCTCTAAATAATGATGAAATTGTAAATAGTACAAATCTGAGCAAATCCGCAGCAAATCGCGCACAAATGTTGTGTGACACTGATGTCCCATCTCGCACAAATGTCGTGTGACACTGAGGTTCCATCTCGCACAAATGTCGTGTGACACTGATGTCCCATCTCGCACAAATGTCGTGTGACACTGATTTTCCATCTCGCACAAATTATGTGTGACACTGATTTTCCATCTCGCACAAATTATGTGTGACACTGATGTTCCATCTCGCACAAATTATGTGTGACACTGATGTCCCATCTTTCACACTGATGTTCCATCTCTCATACTGATGTCCCATCTCGCACACTGATGTCCCATCTCTCACACAGACGTCCTATCTCACACACTGATGTCCCATCTCTCACACTGATGTCCCATCTCTCACACTGATGCCCATCTTTCACACTGATGTCTCATCCTTACCACTGATGTCCCATCTCCCACACTGATGTCCCATCTCTCACACTGATGTCCCATCTCTCACACTGATGTCCCATCTCTCACACTGATGTCCCATCTCTCACATGGATGTCCCATCTCTCACACTGACGTCCCATCTCGCACAATTGTCACGATTACTAAAGTTTGAAGAAAATAGATTCAGAAGAATTGACTTCCATTTTACCATTAAGATCACAGGCACTTGTTTCTATCCATGGGAAGGTCGACTCTCCATATATATATGGATAGTCGACCTTCCATTGGATAGAAAGAAGTGCCTGTGATTAAGATCCATTGTTTCAGTGGCTTTATATATGCGACTCTTCTTTAGCAAATAGACTTTGAATAGAAAAAATAACCTTGGAATATCGTATTGAATGATAAGTACATGCAGGTGCATAAAGAATCGAAAAGTGGAAGTCATCTTGTTGTTTTCATTCATATGTGTTTTGCATATCTACAAATACTTGAATGTGATTGGCCTATTAGCAGTTTTTTCCTTAGTTTACACTTCGATAGACCATGCTGCCGAAACTACTTTCGTAACTTTTGTAAACACTATTTCTGTTTTACTGTGACATATTCATGCATGATACCCATGAATTGTATTCTGGGGTTCTAAGAAAATTGAAACTGAAAGTAGCAAATAACAAATGTTTGGGTTGAGAATTATAAAGGCAAAACATGTTTACATGAGCCGCTGACTAACAAACTTAACCTAAAGGTCTTTCGGATTTTTATTCAGTTTGTGAGTTAATCGACCAGTTTACACATAAGTAACCTCTATATTATAGTAAAGTGTAGTATGGGGTTTTCATTTCTATATTCTTTAATTTTTAAGGTCTTTTTCCCTATTCTTTATTTTGCCTTTTCTCTATTCTTCAATTATCAAAATTCATTGTTATAAATTACTTTGCTCTTCATGGGCCCTTTAATTGGAATAAAAATATAATATTTTTTAACCGGATTTTTCTCTATTCTCTTTTGTTTTGCCAATTTATTCTCTACTCTGTAAATTCCCCCCCCCCCCCCCCCCCCCCCCCCCCCCTTTTTGCCCTCTTGTATTCAACGGAGTGGTCGATAATTGTCAATTTCCTGATGTGAGTGTATATATGAAGCAGGCACTGTCCTTTGGTATCCTTAGATATTCATAGGTCTTGAACTGTTTATCAATCTGACCTGGAATTGTCAGAATTTGAATATAATATTTGGGTTATACAAAAGACATCTATAGAGATCGCCAAGAGTCTAATTGCCATTTTTGGTATATAATCTATTAAGAACAAATACGAAAACTTCAGATGTTCTTAACTTTGCTGAGCACGTGAGCTCGAATTGCCAAAGTGTTTTTGGTTTCGAATTGAATTCATTTTACATATATCTTTGTCAGTTGCCTCTGATTTTTTTCTTATGCCACACTCACTTCATTACTGTAATACATGTTTAAAGACCAACAACAGAGTAGTTTTCTTGGTTGTGTTCTTTAAATCGAAATCATCACATCGACAATGCAAACAAATCAACAAAACAATACATAAAAAACTAAAGACCGAGCAACACGAACCTCACCAAAAAAATTGCAGGTGATATCGGGTGAACCGGAAGGGTAATTATATTCTGCTCCACTAGTGGCACCCGCCATGTTGTTCATGGTTAGAAGAAAATTCGACGAAACCATATCATTTTGTCAAATAATATTTTTGTCTCGTTTTGTTATTTTGTATTGTTGTGTTACTATCTAATTCTTGTCCAATATCCGGAGTTACGCTGTTGAGAAGGATCATGCAAACATCATGTACCAAGCAACATAGAAAACAAATATCAATAATTTATAGTATAGCATTATATGCATTAAGTTTTAAGGTGGATGTGGGGTCTTAATTAAAATCCATAGAATGTTTTAATATTTTGGTAAAATGTAGTTTTTATCATGCTTTTTTCCAAAATATAATAAAAAGTATGAGTCACCGGACTTTTATTATTCAGGCTACAGGTTGTGCAAAATTGTCAGATTTTGTATAGATTATGCATGGAAAATCAAATTTTGTGTGATAAAAAGAAAACTACACCATAGAATTTTAAGATAAAATGTGAAAAGATAGCTCTTATAACATGCTTTCAGATAAGAAAAAGAAAAAAATGGGGTCACCGGACTTGTTTTCCTGCTACATATTAAAATAGGTAAATTCACAACACTTTCTATTATAAAATTACTTTATCTGAGTTATCTCCCCATCTATCTGAGTTATCTCCCCTTATGTGGCAAAGTTGAAAAAAAAATGAGTCAAACAAAATTTTTGTGTTTTTTAGAAAATATGATAAAACACATAATTTCCTATATTAACATGAAAAGTCTTACACATGAATTACATACTACTCTAAAAATTTGCACATTTCATTAAAGATCTAGACCAATTGTTATCTGCTACTTCAAAATCCAAGATGGAGGGAGACACCCCAGCCACATTAATTGAACGTTTATTGACAATGTATATATAATAATAAAGTTCAGAATAAGTATGGCAAAAAAATTATCTTGAACCATTCATTCTTTCTTTTGGTATTATTGTTTACCAAGCTAGCGTCAAATCGACATTATCCCTTTTTGTTGGATTTAAATTGTTTACAGCAGTGTCTGGTTTTGACTTGCTTTAAATTTCTTTTGTTTCGTCTGTTTGTGGTGTTGACTCGCATAATTCGAGTTCACTGCCTCTTTCATTCAAAACAAAACCATCAGATGATGTGACAGCATGATTTGTTGTATCATTTAGTTTACTGTGGTCCTTTTCGTCAGAAGCTGCTGCTTCTGGAAAAGAGGTATCACCTGTTTCATTCTGGAATTCTCCTTTAGAAGCGTTGGTCTCGTGATCTAATGTATTACGTTTTTCATTATGGGATTCTCCGTCAGCAGCGGTGGTCGCGTCATCTGATGTATCACGTGTTTCATTATGGGATTCTCCGTCAGCAGCGGTGGTCATCTGATCTGATGTAGCAAGTAATTCATTATGGGATTCTCCGTCAGCAGCGGTGGTCACCTGATCTGATGTAGCAAGTGTTTTATTGTGTACATCACTTTGCGAAGCGTTGACGTTGTATCTTATCGCACTGTTTGTGTTTTCATCTTTAAAATAATTAAACATTATGACATAAAAAAAACCTGTAATATTGTAATGAATGCATTAGGTCATTAGGAATAGTTTTATGTAGATTTGAGCATTATCCTGAATAACATAGATGAATTTTCTCTACTCGGATGTTAAGGTCGATATTACAAACGTACAATAAATGACTTCTTTTTAAATGGATGGGTCGAGTATATCAATGGTCTCGTGATAGTGTGCTCGCCTCAAGTGCAGGAGGTCTTGGGTTCGCTCCCCGGTCGTGTCAAACCAAAGACATTAAAATTGATGTTTGTTGCTTCTCCGCTAAGGTCGTGGCATAAATGACTAAGAGCGACGACTGGTCGGTTCGGTTACTGCCACAAGATATAAACCGGTTTGAGCTAATACACCCAAAGTGCTTGATTTTGGTTTATGTCCGCTTCCTGGTTGTTTGTTTTTGTTGATGGTCTGAGATAAAGAAAATTAGCCCGAAAAACTTATATTTTTAAAAATTCGTTGATAATTAAGAAACTAAGATTTTTTTAAACTGCAGTCATATGTATGTCCCAAATTATCACCTGGTTTGAAATAAAAAATATTATATAAATAGCTGTGTAGTCGTGTCTTCAGATAAAATAACTGAACAAGAATGATTTTGTTAGAAAAATGGAAACAAAATGTGTTGTTCCTGACTGGCTAGTAGGTTTTTATATTTGATATGATACAACATTAAAATAGTTTTACTATCGTGTTCGTCGCCTGACCGGAAGGAATAGAACCAACATATGAAAAATTAACTTTTTTCCTGTAGATTTCCCCGTGAGAAGTGTGCCTTTTGTTTATGTCCTTCGGTCCAATAAAAAAATATTTACTTGCTGTTACGATTAGCCTGTTGCACATAAATATAAGTAGATAAAGAATTATCTATATCAACGAGATACCCCCCCCCCCCCTAAAAAAATCAACACAGGAAATATACCTGTAAAGTCAACGTGTAATCCATTCCCTATTCTTGTTAATGAATTTTATATTTTAGGTGTCCGGATTGTCTCGGATTTTTATCGTTATAATTTATTTTTCTTTTGGTCGCGGTTTTATTTATTATATCAGCTTTTAAACTGTCTTGTTTGCACTTATTTGTGTAAAACATGTTATGGATACTAACCTGTTGTAGCTGCATTGGTTTCGGAGATTGACCGTTTTGGACGTAGTGTCGCCTTCTTTCTTCGACGGCAACAGACACATACAATAAGAACAATAAAAAGAACAGCACCAACCAGTCCGCCAATAAGTCCACCTGTTACTTCGACGTTCAACTTGTCTCTGAACATAAATAGGAATATTAAGTATGAATAAAAGGAGGTGTGTGATACAGGCAAAAAAAACAAAAAAAAAAAAAAAAAACAGAACCCACACGAAAAACATTTAGGTACAGCCTTAGTATAAAATGAAATCAAAATATCAAATAAAAACGAGTAGTTAAGTTTACAGTAATAAATAAATGAACCAATGAAATACAAAATAAAGAAAACCAAGTCTTAAGTAGTTAACAACAATGATAGATAAACATTTTTGTTATGCATATGAAAAAAAGAATATACTAGACTAAGAGAAAAGTCAACTGTGAATCCCTAATATAAACGAAAATGGAACTGTTACAGTTCTGTCAACCTATTTGTCTCATTTATCGTTCGGTTAGCACCAGTTGTGGAATCTTTGCTTTAAACAAATTCAACTGTTAAAGTAATAGCCCGACATGCGTATTCTACATGGAACTCGTACCCTTGTATAGAGCTTTATAATGAAAATAATAAGATGTGGTATGATAGCACATGAGACAGTTCTCCATCAGAGACCAAAATGATGTAGATATTACCAACTATATGTCATCGTACGGCCTTCAACAATGAGCAAAACCTATACTGTATAGCAAGCAACAAAAGGCCCCGAAATTCTCGCTTATTGCCTTCCATTGGAAAGAGTAATTGGTGGTATTGTACATGTACAAAATAGTATAATCTTACCTTGCTGTAAGAGAGTTGCTACCACTGTATGAATTGTAGTAGTAATTGTAGTAGTTTGAGTAGTATCTATGCCGGTAATATAAATAGTTACGATATCGTACGTAGTTTTGATAGGAAAGATAGTAAGCTCTGTTATAGTAGTAGTCTCCGAGGGTATCAACATGGTCTACAATAAAATATGTAAATAAGAATGATCAAATTTCTTAAAGGGTTTTAATCACTAAACCAATAACCCTCTTAATTCATCACAGGAGGTGTCGTTATGGACGAATGCTTTAAACAGCTTACCAAGTGAACATTCGCCAGTTTATACCTAAGTAGCATTTTGAGTTGCATGGAGATACTGAAAACAAGAAAACCCTACAACTAAAAATAAAATGCCAAAAGGATAGAAAGAGAGTTTTTCAGTAACAAGTCTCAAAAAACGGAAGCCTCATAGTTCTTAACCATTAAAAGTGGTTGCATTGAAAAAGTGCCAATGTATAAAATTTTGATGATATTGTAATAAAGCAATTTCATATCGAAGTGACCATTGATTTTTCCGTTTAGCATATACTGTATTAATTGGCTTCCGAACCCGCATTTTGACATTTTCGGTAAAAAGAGAATTTTAATTTCCATCTCATTGTATGTGTTTTTTCATAAACCATTGACTGAACGGCTCTGAACCTTTTAGATGACAGTCAAATTCATACCTCAATCTCAAGTGGCTCCAACATATAACAGTATTGTAGTATCTACAATGGATGTATAAATAGTTACGAGCTTTTACGTAGTTTTGATAGGAACGATAGTAAGTATAAAAAGAAGATGTGGTATGATTGCCAATGAGACAACTCTCTACAATAGACCAAATGACACAGAAATTAACAACTATAGGTCACCGTACGGCCTTCAACAATGAGCAAAGCCTAAACCGCATAGTCAGCTATAAAAGGCCCCGAAATGACAAATGTAAAACAATTCAAACGAGAAAACTAACAGCATAATTTATGTACAAAATAATGAACGAAAAACAAATATGTAACACAGCAAAAAACGACAACCACTGAATTACAGGTTCCTCACTTGGGACAGGCACATACAGAATGTCGCAGGGTTAAACTATTTTGAAGGCGCCAACCCTCCCCTAACCTGGGACAGTGGTGTAACAGTACAACATGAGAACAAACTATAAAAATCAGTTGAAAAAAGGCTTCACTCATCAGATGGATACAATTAGAAATACATCTAACAAAAACACAAAGTGGACGTGGAAGGGTACTTTACATCCCAACAACAAAAAGGCATTTAGTACAGATCTGAGAGTACTCGCAGTTATAGACAGCTAGTTCAAAGCCAATAACAACTAATAATAAAATCATGCATCTAAGACTAAATTATCAATCAGTACACATCCAACATCTAATGGATTTAGTGTAAAGACGTCATAAACAGTCAGAGAAAAACATGACATTGTGCAATGCCAAGATACAGGTATCGACAGATTGTAGAGCCATGAATGTGCATATGTATATAACAATAATATTTAGTTTGATTTTAATTTACTGATAACAAAATCAATATTAATACCAATAAAAATAATATTCAAAGTTCTAATAACAGTGTTGAATTGGTAACCTTTTCGAATAAGTTTATTTAAAGGATCAATAAGTTTACCCGGATCGTTTCTAAATTTCCGGGTTCGGAAAACAACATCTCCGTAAAAATGAGGATGTGCTATCCCGTTTCTGAAATAAGTTTTCTACAGGTACAACCAAACTTCAAAACCAAATCTTTATATATATGGAAGAATTTAGTAAAGGTTTTAAGTAATTTTTGATAACGAAATCCCTGACTTGATAATTTAAAAGTAATACATAGATTACGTTCATTAAAATCCAAAACGTCACAACAGACACGAGCATAGCGAACGAGTTGTGATATATAAACACCGTAAGATGGTGCCAAAGTAACATCACCATCCAAAAAAGGAAAATTAACAGTAGGGACCGAAAAATCGTCCCTTTTGTCATAAACTTTAGTGTAGAGTTTCCCATGTAGAACTGAAATGTCTAAATCTAGGAAAGGACAGTTATTAACGTTATATTTGATTTATTTAAAGTTAGTTCCTTTGGGTAAATTTCGGCAGTATATTTAGAAAATTCTTGATTATTTAACGAAAAAATATCATCAACATAACGGTAAGTGTTGTTGAATTTATCAATTAAATGCAATTTAGACGGGTCTTTACTGAGTTTGGTCATAAACTGTGATTCATAACAGTACAAGAACAAGTCTGCTATTAAAGGGGCGCAATTGGTGCCCATAGGAATACCTACAACCTGTCGATAAATTTTATTGCCGAAACGTACATAAATATTATCAAGGAGAAAATTAACAGCTTCAATTATCTCATCACACCTCCAGTAGGTATATCTAGCATATTTACCTTTCGCATTATAGAAGAAGGCTTTAAATGAGTTGCAGGAAATATATTTGCATTCAGATTTACCAAACGACCATTTAATTAAATAGGAAAACTTTTGTTTGATAAGATTGTGTGGAAGTGTAGTGTAAAGAGTTAAAAAGTAAAAACTGTCAACAGAATCAAAAGGACCATCAAAAGCACGTAATTTATCTAAAACATCCAAATAATTTTTAACTCTCTCAAAAATAGTTAATTCCACTATTTTCATATATTTTATTACAAAAGTTAATGATAAGTTCTTTGATAGTAGTTAAGGAACTAGTTAAAAGCACTGAAATATTAGTTGAAGAAGGCCGAGATGAAACGATATTTTACTGGTAAGGTTTGTTATAGTAGTGTAGACCCACCTATAAGTTTTGGTGCAAACAAAGGCAAGGAATTTTAGGTGTTTAGTGAAAAAATGTAAAATGCAACAATTTTTACGGGTCATTTTAGCACACTTGATAGAAGTAAGTCGCCGTTGTAAGGTCGTAGTTTTCCAACATTGAATATCCGGAGATATCACGCGGATATCCGGAGATATCACGCGGAATGTTATGATGTGAAATATAATTTTAAACAATGTTGTGTTCATTTATACATGTATGCTTCAGATTGAAAGCTGCTGGGATCCTCGAAATACAAGCTCCAACAACAATTCCAACAATAAGAAATATCAACCCAAGATTCAAGATTAGTATAACACATCATCAATTGAAAGCCACACACTTGGTTTAACATGTACTTAGTTAAATAATCAGATTAGATATCAAAATCATTTAAGCGAACTTATAGTTGTGTCATCATTTGAACAACAATAATTAAATAAGACTTGACAAAACATGTCTTTTTGTGTATCATTAATTAGAGTATTCAGTCAAATTACATAAGTTAACTGGTTGCAATCAGTTATTGTACAGAAGTTTTTCTTGTTTAAAAGTTTTGAAATGTTATATCTTCATTGTTTTCTTAAACATAACGAATGGATGGTAGCTAAACCAAGATTGTTTCACTAATCAAGTAAATCACTGTTCAAGTTATATAATATAAAAGGAACTATTAGTTTACAGTAGGATTCACATTATAAATTTTATACATTTGCGCACTTTCAAATTGCAAAAAAAAAAACATTTTACATATCCCATCTTATCACAATAATAGAAATAACATATGCCGAAACATACATACCTAAAAGAGATATAATAACTAACACAAGTCTGGATAAAAATGTGAACAAAAACATGTTGAGTATATCTACGATGGTCAGCAGAGTAAATATGGCTTTCCGCAAATACGATGACTTAAAAATGTTGAACATCGGAAATCATCACGAAAAGAGGAAGTGAGTATGTTATAAATTGTTGTAATAATTGTTTATAATAACTTGATTTTAATTTAGATTGAGCTTTCGTCTTATTTGATGTGTTTGAAAATCATTTGTTTCCAAATAATTTAGTTGAACATTTTCGTTTGTTAATTTATTATTATGACAAAGGAAGCATTTACAATATTGATACACTCCAACAAAAACGACCGCTCATCTGTATTATTATATAGACATTAGACATTATTTTATTTACCATCAGGCAAGATACAAAAACATCGTAATACAATAATTAATTATTATAAAACATGCAAGTTTTTAGTGAAAATACACAACTTTTTTTTTGTAATTTTCACCTGATTTTTAACGTGAGATTTTCTCAAAATTGTAATTCCGCCATAATGTCTATCATTAGCCTTTGTGATAGATCTACATATAGGGTAGAAGTTAAAAGGGTCCACCTTTTTATATTGGCATTGTAATCAACATGGTTTTCTACGAGGAAAGCTAGATCATATTTTGAATTTGAGGCAATGAAGGTTTGGTCCTGGGTTTTATCAATGTCCCCAGAAATATATAGTTTCTTATTCTATAAAATATCTGTATTTGTTGTATTCGGCTGGAATGACATTGCTAGTTATATAGAAATTCCTACTGATATTACAAATGTAACAAATGCATTTATAATTGTGAATCTTGAGCAATATTGGATTAATAACAACAGTTCGTGTTCATGTTAAGGTAAATATTTGTATAAAAAATTAAAATGTTATTTTTGATATTGAAAAACAATATTCATCCAGAGTTTTGTTCACATTGATAATAACATTGTAACAATCTCTGAATGTACGGAATTTTTGTTTTATTCGATTCATAAAAGTCCTGTTGGATCAATAGTTATGGTTCGTGTTCATGTTAAAGTAATATTTGCATAAAAAAATAATTGTGATTTTTGATATTGAAAAACGATACTCATCCAGAGTTTTGTTCACATTGATAATAACATTGTAACAATTTCTGAATTTACGGAATTTTCGTTTTATTCGATTCATAAAAGTCCTGTTGCAGTGGAAACTATTTAGAATTAAATGGTATTTATTAGTTATAAGGTATTTCATAATTAATGGTCTCCATCAATCCGTTCATCATTATTTCAATTAAATTTTATGCAAAATCAATGAAATTTTATTTTTTGTCCCACTTTCGACGATTGTCTCAGAATGCAACACATAGGAATGTGATACAGTCAATTATTACAAGTAAAAGAACAAGTTTTATACATATATATATATATAAATAAGTCTAAATTGAAAAAAACGTTCAAACCTATGATTGCGTTGGATAAAAACCGCGATTTCTATACGTGTGTATGCAAAACAAATTTCTTGTTAGAGGGGTCTACATAAATACAGCACAAACAACATTTTCCAAAAGACCAAAATAGTGAAAAAGTATATTTTAACAAAACGCATTTGACTAACAGGTCGAACAACAAATGTTCTTAAACCCTGCTGACTGCCATTGGCGATTGCCAAATAAACGGATCACCGATGTAATAAATGGATCTTAATTTTAAATTGAATACTAAACAGAAAACAATAAACTTGCGGAAAAGATGATATACCGCAAACAAAAGGTGCTAAGGTTTTTGTACACCATATCCGGATTTGGACAATTAATGTCTCTTCAGTGATGTTAGGAATCGAAACGGTATTTGGAAGGCCATATAATTTACCTCAATTTGGGATAGACTCTAGAATTTTGAAGAGTCGAAATAGGATGAACGGATCATATAAACCCGAAGGCAAATATTATAATACAAGCCCAAACGAAAAAATATAAATAAGTCTAAATTGAAAACAACGTTCAAACCTATGATTGCGTTGGATAAAAACCGCAATTTTTATACGTGTGCATGCAAAACAAATTTCTTGTTAGAGGGGTCTAAATACAGCATAAACAACATTTTCCAAAAGACCAAAATAGTGAAAAAGTATATTTTAACAAAACGCATTTGACTAACAGGTCGAACAACAAATGTTCTTAAACCCTGCTGACTGCCATTGGCGATTGCCAAATAAACGGATCACCGATGTAATAAATGGATCTTAATTTTAAATTGAATACTAAACAGAAAACAATAAACTTGCGGAAAAGATGATATACCGCAAACAAAAGGTGCTAAGGTTTTTGTACACCATATCCGGATTTGGACAATTAATGTCTCTTCAGTGATGTTAGGAATCGAAACGGTATTTGGAAGGCCATATAATTTACCTCAATTTGGGATAGACTCTAGAATTTTGAAGAGTCGAAATAGGATGAACGGATCATATAAACCCGAAGGCAAATATTATAATACAAGCCCAAACGAAAAAATATAAATAAGTCTAAATTGAAAACAACGTTCAAACCTATGATTGCGTTGGATAAAAACCGCAATTTTTATACGTGTGCATGCAAAACAAATTTCTTGTTAGAGGGGTCTAAATACAGCATAAACAACATTTTCCAAAAGACCAAAATAGTGAAAAATATATTTTAACAAAACGCATTTGACTAACAGGTCGAACAACAAATGTTCTTAAACCCTGCTGACTGCCATTGGCGATTGCCAAATAAACGGATCACCGATGTAATAAATGGATCTAAATTTTAAATTTAATACTAAACAGAAAACAATAAACTTGCGGAAAAGATGATATACCGCAAACAAAAGGTGCAAAGGTTTTTGTACACCATATCCGGATTTGGACAATTAATGTCTCTTCAGTGATGTTAGGAATCGAAACGGTATTTGGAAGGCCATATAATTTACCTCAATTTGGGATAGACTCTTGAATTTTGAAGAGTCGAAATAGGATGAACGGATCATATAAACCCGAAGGCAAATATAATACAAGCCCAAACGAAAAAATATAAATAAGTCTAAATTGAAAACAACGTTCAAACCTATGATTGCGTTGGATAAAAACCGCAATTTTTATACGTGTGCATGCAAAACAAATTTCTTGTTAGAGGGGTCTAAATACAGCACAAACAATATTTTCCAAAAGACCAAAATAGTGAAAAATATATTTTAACAAAACGCATTTGACTAACAGGTCGAACAACAAATGTTCTTAAACCCTGCTGACTGCCATTGGCGATTGCCAAATAAACGGATCACCGATGTAATAAATGGATCTTAATTTTAAATTTAATACTAAACAGAAAACAATAAACTTGCGGAAAAGATGATATACCGCATATATATTTGTACTTAGTCGCAAAATTAGCTCAACAATGTTAGATCATCTGCAAATTTGTGTAAGCAATTATTTTTTTTGCGGGGATGGAACCCCTGCTTCTGTGACATCGTGGTAACACCGCCTGCACTGACACCAGCGCCCTAGACCACTTGACCAACTAGGCTATACAAAATAAAGCTGTCATTAGGTGACTACATTATGTCTTTCCTCGTCACCTTTGTCTAGAGTTATTACGCAGTGCATGATGTATTGTGGCAAGTAGATGGTGTACCTTGTAGATAATATATATTACTACTACTATATTATATGTCTGTTTATGTGTAGTATACTTTGTCCATCGGATTTCTCATGATTAAGAAATACCAGGCGTTAGAATCTTTATAAAGTGCCTAGAAAATCAGCTTAACAATGTTAGAGTAGCATGCCTTTTACGAATTAACGTATATTTCATACACGAAAAGCGATTTAATATATTAATGGATAAGCCGTTGATATATATATTTATACTACTAAAGGAAGAGACCGATTTCATTGAGCCGCAACTCGTCTGAAACCATACAAAGTCGGAAATATTTGTGATATGGCCTATAAATGTAGTGTTTTGTACTTCCTAAATTTGTCTTTGAAAAAATCTATTTTCCACAGAAAACGCCAATTTTGGAGAAAATATCCAAATTCGGAGACCGTTATCGATCCGTGTCTTATATGCTTTCGCGCATGCTCAGTCGGCGTACTACCCGACAACTCGGCCAACGGCCAATTCGCACCACTTAAACACTCTCACAAATTATTACTTACACTTGCATCACTTTATGAAACTCGCACCACTCAAAAAAAAAAAAAAAAAGAAACAAAACAAACTCGAAGAAATGTGTTTAACCATTAGATTTTTTTTCTTCTTCTCTTAAAAAATCCCTCCTTTCTCGGAGCACCCGTGTCACACAGAGACAGAACTCGCACCACTCGAGAAAAAAAAATACTACAAACTCGCACCACTGAAGAAATGTTTAAAATCATCAGATATAGTTCTATATTGTCTTCTTCTTCTCTGAGTTATTTCCTCCGTTCTTGGAGCACCCGTATCACACAGAGACAAAATTTGACTCGAACCTTTCGAGAAAAAAAAAGAAAGAAATACTATAAACTAGCACCACTGAGAAATGTTTTAATCATCAGTGTTCTGGGTTGTCTTCTTCTTCTCTGAGTTATTTCCTCCGTTCTAGGAGCACCTCACGGTGTAACACCGAGACAGAAGCTACTTATTGGACATTCAAACTCCTATGAAACTAATAAATACTATCAACATAATGCATCAGTGCATAAAAACAGTTTGAGAAACACGAACATCACCATAAACATTTCAAGTAGTCTTCAAGCCGTGCTCGCGGGGTTATTTTCTAGTAATTTGTAATATTAATGACACATGCCAAAGGTTGAATGCTGACTAATAAGAATTAACTGTACTTTTCATGAATTAAATATGTCAATCATAGAGTGGCGTGCTTACTACGACAAAACGTCTCTTGTTTTCAGAAAATGAACACATTGGTCATATTTTTAGTAGAATTTGCATTAATGATACATTTACATGTAAATGAACTGTTGCAGTGAGTTTTTCATTGTTTACAGACCAGTGAACGATTTATTTGTTATTGAATAGTGCCTCCAAAGTATTGAGTGGATATATGCAAAATCGTGTTCAATGCATACCATATTGCCTGCTATCAAAGCA